CTTCTGAGGTTCCCATCAGGGGAAGGCCTCGGCCTCTCTGCCCTGTTGCTGGCCCTCCAGAGGGACTGGTCGGCCACTGTGTGACACGAGATACTGGACTAGATGGACCCTCACTGGTCTGACCCAGCAGGGCTTATTTTATATTCTTGTCTCTGGAATTATGACTGATCTCCAGACTCCAGAAATCTGTTCCCCTGGAGAAAACGGCTGCTTGGTATGGCGGATTCTATGGCCTGCTGAGGTCCTCCCCCTCCCCAAATCCTGGCCTCCCCAGAGCTCCACCCCAAATCTCCAGGAATGTCCCAACCCAGAGTTGCCAACCTGAGCAACACAAGCCCAAACCACCCACAGCAGAAGTGCCAACCGAGGTTCGAAAGTCCGGGTGATGCGCCTTGACACTCACTCTCCACTGCCAGGTCCAGGGAGGCCTTCGCCATGCCGATGCCATTGCTCGCGAGACACTCATAGCGCCCTTCATCATCCAAGCGGACCTCTTTGATCTCCAGTCTCAAGGAGTTGGGAGAGGAAGCCACCCTCATCCGGGGGTCAGGGAGCACTCCGTGGCCTCGGGAAAAGCCGGTGGAGGCCAGGACCTCATCGCCTTGGCGGAGCGACACTTCCGACGGGGGGTTGCTGTCGACGGAGCACACCAGGATGGCCAGCTGCCCATCCTGTGCCTCCAGGAAGGACACCGCTTGGACGTTCCTAGGTGGGTCTTCCGGAAAGGAAAGAGAGAAGTGAGCAGAACCTCTTGTGGCCGACCTGTGCAACAGACCACAGACAGGACGCAACCAATGCTCCCTCTAAGCTGTGGAGTCTTATGAGCAAAAATTCTACTTTGTGACCTCCTGGCATTAAAGCTGTGAGCGAGCGATTTGGCTGCTGCATAAATTAGTTTGCTCTGGAGCCCTCCTTCCTGAGCTGAGACAAAAATGCATGAGCCGGAGGCTTAAAAACTGTGAGCTAGCTCACACGAACTCAGCTTAGAGGGAACCCTGGTCCGAAGATAAGTTGGAATTCTGGGAGATCTCCAGGCACCACAGGGAGGATGGCAACCAATGCTCCCTATGAGCTGCGGTGTCTTGTGAGCAAAAATTCTACTTTGTGAGCTCCTGGCATTAAAGCTGTGAGCCAGCGATTTGGCTGCTGCATAAATTACTTTGCTCTGGAGCCCTCCTTCCTCAGCTGAGACAAAAATGCATGAGCCGGAGGCTTAAAAACTGCGAGCTAGCTCACACGAACTCAGCTTAGAGGGAACACTGGTCCGAAGATCAGTTGGAATTTTGGGAGATCTCCAGGCACCACAGGGAGGATGGCAACCAATGTTCCCTCTAAGCTGCGGAGTGAGCAAAAATTCTACTTGGTGAGCTCCTGACATTAAAGTTGTGAGCGAGCGCTTTGGCTGCTGCATCAATTAGTTTGCTCTGGAGCCCCATCCTTCCTGAGCGGAGACAAAAATGTGTGAGCCGGAGGCTCAAAAACTGTGCCCCGGCTCACACTGACTCAGCTTAGAGGGAACACTGGACACAACTTCTAAACAAGCTTGCCGATTTCCAGGTGGTGTCTGGAGATCTGGAATCACACCGGATCTCCAGGATGGGGAAGGTCCCATTGAAGTAACCCAACCCAGCTTAGCTGGCTAATGCTCGCTCAGACTTGCTGGCCGCAGATCTCCAGCGATTTCCCAGCCTGTCGTTGGCAGCCAACCCTCCCAGATACTCAGGTCACCTGACCTGTCAGCTGACCCCAGTACAACTTGGAGTTCAAAACCTCCACGCTGACTCCCCAAGCAATAGGCATGAAGCTGGGCTGCCATGCCCCTGATGGGTCTAGTAACAAATAAATATACACTGCAAAAACCTTTTAACAAACTAATGTGTTCTATTTATGGTCATCATTTAGTAAAGTGCACAGTGTATCATTATTTCATCCTACTCAGGTATAAATATTCATTACATTCAATAAGCAATAACATACAGTACATGCAGATTGCTAACTACCAGGCAATTTTGCATCAGTATTTTAAAAGTCAAGGCCCAACGGGAGTTTCTAGAATTATAAACCTGCTTCTCCTTGCAGGAGGGCTTCCAAAAAGGGGGACAGCCTCCTTAATAGTTGTATGGATGCTTTTTGCCAGGGCTACAAAAGAAACATTGTGCAGCTAACATTCATGGACGGAGTACTCCTATCATTCTCAAAGCTGCAAAATACATGTTTATTAATTAATTAATTTATTTATTATTTATTTATTTAATTCAATTTATACCCCGCCCTCCCCACAATGTGGCCGGCATGACTAAACACCAAGGCGCACGGAACACTGTTACCTTCCCACTGAAGTGGTACCTATTGATCTACTTGCAATTTCTTGCTTTCGAACTGCTAGGTTGGCAGGAGCTGGAACCAGAGATGGGAGCTCACTCCGTCACGCGGCACACTCGGGTCTCGAACTGCCGAACGACCGACCTTCCACAGCCTGCAGTTCAGCGTCTTAACCACTTGAGTCACCGCAGCTCCATTAGTAACCTAGAAATAACTGTTTTCAGGTGTCTTGATTGCAATTAAAACACAGTGAGCCTTCCTCCTCATTTTGACTTCTCCAGCTGCCAAACTATCTACCTGCCAGTCTGCAGTTCAGCGTCTCACTTGAGCCACCGCAGCTCCATTAGTAACCTAGAAATAACTGTTTTCAGGTGTCCTGATTGCAATTAAAACACAGTGAGCCTTCCTCCTCATTTTGACTTCTTTTTGTGACTGGGAATCTATTTATATAACACAGGCATCACCAACAAACAACGGAGCCACGCCCCAGGACTTACAAAGCACGTTCAGGGTGCCCAGGGAGGAGTTCCGCACCCGTTCGGATGTCTCCACTGCACAGTAATAGGTCCCTGCGTCGGCCACAGTGACCTTGGGAAGGGACAGTGCCCGGGAGGGCCCCTCTGCGTACCACCTGTGGTCCTTGTACCAGGTGTAGTGTGGGTCTCCAGCTGCACCACTGTCGATGGCGCAGGTCAGGTTCGCGGAGTCCCCTTCGAGAACATCTGGAGGGGAGATCCAGATCCGTGCCGCTAAGCAAACAGGGGAGAGAGACATGCTGAGAGAGGCCTGTTCCTGGCAGGCCTGGAGTCTCCAAGCAGCTTAGACTCTCCTTTCCCTCCCCTCCCCACAACAGACACCCCGTGAGGTAGGTGGTGCTGAGAGAGCTCTTTCCAGAGCTCCCCTTGAGAGAACAGCTCTGAGAGAACTCGTGAGACCCAAGATCTCCCAGCTGGCAGCATGTGAAGGAGTGGGGAATCAAGCCCAGTTCTCCCAGATTAGAGTCCGCGCTCCTGACCACTACACCGAAGCGGTGATCAGCATTCCCCTGGGTGTGTAAGGAAGGGCCACGAGATCGAAGCCCTGAGGCAACTCACCCTCTGCAGTGAACCTGATAGAGACGCTGCTGTTCCCGTAGAGGTTGCTGGCCCAGCACGTGTAGCCCCCTTCGTCTTCCATCACCACATCCCGGATCTCCACCTTCAAGCTGTTGTACGAAGCGGAAACGCTGAGCCGTTGGCCGGGAGCCATGTGGGAATCACTGCTGGAGGCCAAGAGCTCGTCTCCCTTGTACGTACATGTCCAGGAGGGATTGGGGCACACTGTCAACGGTGCACTGGAGGACAGCCACTGGGCCACCCTGCGTCTGCAGGAAGGAAGTCAGCTGGGGCTTCCGCGGCGAGTCTGTGTGGGGCAGAGAGAACCCAGCATTAGGGGAAGTGGAATATTTCATTAATTCATTTGTTCATTTATTTTTTCGTTCGTTCATTCATTGTGGGGAGGGAGGACTATAAATCAAAATAGTAAATAAATAAATTCATTCATTTATTTGTTCGTTCATTCATTCGTTCATTCATTCATTCATTCATTCATTCATTCATTCATGCAGCTGAGGCTTCCATGGGGAGATCTGTGTGGAGCAGACAGAGTCCAGCATCAAGGGGAGTTGGAAGTGTCATTCATTCATTCATTCATTCATTCATTCTTTGATTCATTCATTCATTCATTTGTTCATTCAGCTGAGGCTTTTGTGTGTGTGTGGGGGATCTGTGTGGAGCACAGAGAGCCCAGCATTGGGGAAGTTGGAAATTTTATTCTCTCATTCATTTGTTCATTCATTTGTTCGTTCGTTCATTCATTCATTCATTCATTCGTTTGTTTGTTCATTCATTCATTCATTCATTCATTCATTCATTCATGCAGCTGAGGCTTCCATGGGGCGATCTGTGTGGAGCAGACAGAGTCCAGCATCAGGGGGAGTTGGAAGTGTCATTCATTAATTCATTCATTCGTTTGTTTGTTCATTCATTCATTCAGCTGAGGCTTTTGTGTGTGTGTGTGTGGGGAGGGGTCTGTGTGAAACACAGAGAGCCCAGCATTGGGGAAGCTGGAAGTTTCATTCTCTCATTCGTTCATTCATTTGATCGTTTGTTCATTTGTTCATTCATTCGTTCATTTATTCATCCACTTGGTGGCGAGGCACTCTGCTGCAGGAAGTGGTGGTGAGAGGGCAAAGCACCACTTACAGAAGACGGTGACGCTGAGAGGTGGGGAGGAGGCGCTCGGGCTGGTCTCCTCGCTAGTGTGGGCCTTGCAGTGGTAGGAGCCGGCATCCCTGCTGGTGATTTGCAGGAAAGCGAGTGTGCTGGAGTTGTTGTTCGGGATGCGCCTGGAGTTCTTGTACCAAGAGAAGGTGGCACCGTCACCCGGCACACTTCCAAGCACATCGCAGGTGAGAGTGGCGGCCTCTCCCTCCAGCAACTCTGGCGATGGCGAGGCCAAAACTCGTGCCGCTGGAAGAAAAGACCCAGGGACATCAGGCAGCTACTGGAACACACATGAACACACTTGAAGTTGCCTTATACTGAATGAGACCCTTGGTGCATCAACGCCAGTATTGTCTACTCAGACTGGCAGTGACTCTCCAGGGTCTCAGGCGGAGGTCTTTTTCATCACCTCCCGCCAGGTCCTTTTAATTGGAGATGCCGGGGATTGAACCCGGGACCTTCTGCGTGCCAAGCAGATGCTCTTCCACTGAGCCACAGCCCCTCTTTACAGCTCTCCAGGGTCTCAGGCGGAGGTCTTTCACGCCACCTACCACCTGGTCCTTTTAACTGGAGATGCCGGGGATTGAACCTGGGACCTTCTGCATGCCAAGCAGAGGCTCTTCTACTGAGCCACAGCCCCTCCCCTGAAGGAGGTACTAGTAATAGGTCATATGTTCAAGATACTCTATTCTCGATGATCTTTTGGGAACATCAGTCGATAAATCCCAAGTTAGAAACTGGATTTATGACTTTGACGCTCGGCGAGACTGCTCTTTGATACTAAAATCAAAAGCGGCACCATGGTACAAAGCAATTAAAGCGGGCCATACTAGAACTCCATACTTAGTCAGTATCCCGAAACATATACTTAAAGCATCTTTTACCTCTCTACGGTTTCAATCAATGCCAACAGCAATTTTGGAGGGCCGATTCAATCAAACTCCATTGGTCCACTGTCTATGTATTTGTGACACCCATGAACTTGAGGATTTACCTCACTAGATCCTCTTTTGCCCACTGTCTGAAGGCTAAATTTTTAGCAGGTATTTTATCTGGTCTTAGTGCTTACCCAGTTGAGGATAAAATTCCATTTTTGTTATCTGACATTGATGCATATGTCTCTTATAAAGTTTCATTATTTGCCCTTGCTGCATATGTTCCAAGGTGGCAACGGGAAGGGGCATTATTCAGGCTACTGTATTAAATTTGTCATATTTTGTTATTGACTTCTAGTACTTTTGTACATTCTGATATTAACCTATAGTTTGTTCACAATTTATATTTTGTAATCTTGTAAAGGCCAATGGCTAATTACAATAACCTAAACTGAAACTGAATTAAACTACTACTTGATACTCTCTGCATCTGGAAAAGGGGTAACCGTTCTCTGGACAACTAAGAAATACTGAACCTAATTTTTGGCATACATAACTCATCCCTGCAGGTATCCATATAGCAGAGACAAATATCCATAAAACCCATGAACCCATCATAAAAAAAGATTCCAACCCAAGTCTCCTGCAGGTTGCCAGGCACAATGCTTGTGCCTAGCAGGTCAAGTGGCTTCCCAAGGCTCAGTTTAAGTAGCCTGAGAGGTAATTGGGCCCAGCTGGACTACTGACAGGTGCTGGGGTTCCTGAGGCTGCCCTGTGCTTTGGCCAGGATCCTGCAAAGCAGTACTATCCCCATTACTCTGCTCTAGACTTACACGGAGGTTGTGTGCAGCCAGTCTGGCACTTCATCTCCTTTGTGCCACCTCAGCCTGGGCCTTCCACCACTGCTGTTCCTGCAAAGTGGGAGAAGGGCCTGAGGGGCCACAGGCCCAGGTTCAAGGCCTGTCTGGCAGAGGCCTAGCAGCTAACTTAGTGGCTGGTGAAGAGGTTTCCCTTGCAGGTTGTGGCAGGGTTGCCTCTGGTGCTGCTGTTACATCCTCGGCAGGCCCCTCTATAGTGCTGGTCCCTCCCTGGTCCCTCCGGTTCTCCCCAGCCATCAACCTTGGCTCCTCAGTCTCCTCCCCTGAGATCTCTGAGTCATATTCGCTAAGCTGGCCAGAGCAGGTCATGACAAGCCCTTTGACCTGGATCTGGAAATATTTGTGTTTGCACCTAAGGATGTCCATTTCATGTGTGCCTAAGGTTCTCCAGATCTTATGTTTCGATGGCACTTTTGCAACATGTGTTGAAGGAACTTGCTGAGGTTACAATGGATGGCATAACCAAGCACCAGAACCTGTGGCCTTTGAATCCTCACCTCTCACTATGTATGTACATACCATCAAGTCTCAAGTGACTTACAGAAACCCCAGCAAGCATCTCTCTCTCTCTCGATCTCTCTCTTTCTCTGCATTTGTGTGTGCGTGTATGTGCTAGGGTTGCCAGGTCTGGGTTGTAAAATACCTGGAAACTTTGGGGGTGGATCCAGTAGAGGGTGGGGTTTGGGGAGGGGAGGGGCCTCAGCATGGTACAATGCCATAGAGTCCACCCTTCAAAGCAGCCATTTTCTCCAGTGGAGCTGATCTCTGTCAGCTGGAGATCAGTTGTAAAAGCGGGAGATCTCCAGGCCCCACCTGGAGGCTGGCAAGTCTAGTGTGGGCTGGTGCCTGGAAGTCTGGTGACTCCTACTGGGGCATGGAGGATGGTCAGAGAAATGGCTTGATGCCTTCTGCCTTCTGGCCCTGGTGTTCTTTGGAGGTCTCCCATTCAAGTACTTACCAGGGTCAGCCCTCCTTAGCTTCCGAGATCTGATGAGATTGGTCTTGCCTGGACTATCCACATCACAGCAGCAAGCAGCTTTCAAAGCAAGTGAAATGCAGAGGTGGTTTGCCATGGCCTTCCTCTGTAGAATTTTCCTTGGTGGTCTCCCTTCCAAGCATCAACCCTGCTTAGCTATGGAGATCTGACGAGACTGGGCGATACCATATTACTTTCATTCCCACCCTGTCACTAAAGCACTCTGAATTAGATATACCTGAAGATGCCTGTTGGGTTTTTGTTGTTGTTAATTATTGCTATGGCGCTTTTTTTTTGGTTCATATTTTTTCATGGTATTGTAAGGCTGCGGTCACACGGAACATTAGCCATGCTACAGAGACGGAAGATAGGCGGATTTTCCGGGTGCGATCACACCACCACATCTGGGAAGCGTAGAGCTTCCGTGCTGAACCCGAGGCTTCCCGCCAAAGATGCAGGGTAAAAAACTAGTACCTCCGAGGTACTAGTTTCCGGAAAGCGCGGGGCAAGGGTGGGCGCCTGATTGCGTTTCCGGTGGAATCCCGTGGCATCCGGCGCCCGCCCATGTCCCGTCACAAACAGGTGTTTTTTTCAAGTCTCCACAGGATGCGCACAAGCGTTCAACAGCGCATGCACACAAAGAGGCCCCCTCCCACTGTAGCCAGGCTTGCCGCCTCTCGAGGGTCGCTATGGCCACTGTCGCACAGGCGGTTAGAGCGACTGTGATGAGGGGCCCCACCTCCCCCTCCATTGGCTATGCCTCGGAGCTCTGTTGGGGTCTGGGAGCGTCTGTCACCCTCTCCGGTAAGCCCACCACCTGCCTTCGGATGTGCAAATATGATTGCTCAGTCATGCGTCTGCACAAATTTCAGTTAAAAAAAAATCCATCCTGTTTGCCACGGAAGCGGCGCCTAGCGATTGCTGGTGTGATCGCGCCGCACCGCTTCTTTGCCACACTGCAGGATCATCATGTGATCGGCACCTGCCCCCTAACCACAGGACCTCGAAGGGATGTCTGATCGCGCAACTGTGTGTTATTTTCCTCCGGGGCAAACAGCCACGCTCCCCCCCACCCACATTTTCCGGCCCATATAACCGGGGCCAGAGTGTATTTCTTTTTTGGAACATTTACACTAACTGTATGCCATCTATACATTATATGCCAGTTAAATACCATTTTTACTCCATTTACACAGCGGAGGCAAAAATACATATTTTTGTAAATTTAATGGGGGAAATCTGGCATGTGGAATAGAAAGCTCAATTCACACATGAGAAAGGATCACAAAACGGGGATTTTCAGTTTTTAAAATGGGGTAGCATCTCTGCTCTAAGTCTTCAGTGGTCATCTAGCATCATTCCCATTATCCCATGAAAACGGTATCCTGAACCTAGTTCACAGTTATATCACTGCTATAACATTTAAGAGTGCAGTTACATGAGGAGAGAACAGAAAACTCCTCCAATACATGCATTAGCTCTTTTGCATTTCAAGAAGTACCTTTTAACATAAAATTACAGCACCGCGGTAAAGAAAGAACTCAGAAGAATGCTTTATCACCATAGCTGGCCAACTTTAACTCATCTCATGTTATTATAAGAAATAGAATTTACTGGTATGGACTTATATTCAATCGTTTCCTTTTCCCTTTTTAATGAAATGTCATTATTCCAATACATATCCTTTCTTTTTCTAGCCTGCTTTCCCCACGCTTCCACCCCCCAATCCCTCTATATTTCATTTCCCGCAGTTACGTGATATTATTGCCAGAGATTGTGTCCCTCCTTCCACAGCTATTGATTTAGGTGTATATGGTTATTACAATGCAAAATAAAACAGTTTGCCTATCCATTCTACCTTGTACTGTTGAACATTAACTTAATTTGTTTCAAATCTGCATTTGATTTGGCAAGGAACCCATTTATCTTTATGAAGAAAGCCCTCATAAAGAAGGGACTTCAGAAGATCGCTGCTTTAAAAATTTAATAGCCTTGTGTCTTATACACTAGAAAAATGAATTAAACCTTCAAATATTATATATCTCAATGTAACCTTTTTGCATTTCATCCTATGTTTAATTTATTATATAAAGTGCAACCCCACGCACACACATACACATACACAGAGCAAAGAGAAATCTCACTATATTCAAGTGGATTGTTTTTACAGATTCTATGAATAAAAGTCAATGAGCCATTTTTCAGGAGCTTTCTAAAAGAGCGTTTGGGTTGGATTTTGATCATGATTAAAAGCTGGTGATCTCTCAAAAAATTTCTGCCAAGATTAAATTTCCAACCAGTTGTCAGGCAATAGGAGTATCTATCCTAGGGTACAAAATTGGCCTCCAAAGTATTCAAGTATTTAATCCTGGGTGTGATTAAATGTACAATGCTCCCAATTTTTTTTTGTTATTTTGAAACAATATCCTTCACCACACTGCCATTCTGAATTTTCTGTTGTGATTGCAGGTGAAGAATGCTTCATAATTAGTTTCATTCATTTAAAGAAAACAAAGG